CTCTTTATTCTGACTTTTTAATTCTTCACAAATTGGATTTAAAAAGACGTCCTAGGATAATGGGGCCGGGTGCAGCCACTGTTATGTGTAATTTAATGTATACTTGTAAGTAACGATATAAGCCATTTCTTACGAAAAACCGATTCTGAGTGGAGTTCAATTGATAAAGATGCTTTGTCAACAATATATACGCCATATTATAGTAAAATAAATAAATAGGTTCTATAGTAAAGTAAAAGCAAAATTTTTAAAATGGTTAATAATCGTAAATAAATATATAAATAAGTGTCACGTTTTTTATTTTGCTGTGATATACCTTAAGATGAATATTCAATTCGAAACCGGTTGTATATAATACACTTATCATAATACTCCAGGCGATGCAATAATTCATTAATTTATTTTATTTTTATAAATACATTTTTCATTTATATATTAATTTACTTTATTTAATAATATTTGTTTAATGTACCGATTTTCCAAGTTTTTCACGTTTGCTGAGAAAACTTCAAAGAAAATGGAAAAACGACCTTTCTACCTTTCTACCTTTTAGTACCTTCTCAGTGAAATTTCCTTTCAGAAACATTGCTATCATTAAAAGTTGGAGCATATAAAAGTTGTCCATGGAAATAAAAAAATCGTAATATTAAATTTAATATATTTCGTAAATTTTCCCATTTTTTATTCGGTTTTTTGCATTTAATGAAAAAATTATTGAATAAAATTGAAATATGACTTTTTAGATACCTCCCCACCCGATTTACTTTCAGAAAAGTTGCTACACGTATAAATCGAAGCATGTCCTCTGCAAAAAAGGTGGCCACAGGAAAAAAAAATAAACCTCTTTGTAAAACTATAAGTTTCTTCGCTCTACTCAGAATCTAAAATTAATAAATTGAAAAGTGTTAAAAACGATCGGTACTGGCGGGAATCAAATGTGTCTTACCTGGTTTCTTGTTTAATGTGTTGTCACCATTGACATATTAACTGTGTCACCACTGTAACTGAAATTACGCCTTATTATGTATCTCAGATTTTATAACGTTATTAACATGCCCTTATCAGTATAGTAATCTTAGTATACCTGATTTTTGGTAAGATACATTTGAATTCGCACCAAGACTGATCTTTTTAAAAAATCATAAGTCTTTAAGTCCTAAAATAATGAAAAAAAAGCTAATTTTTCAATCGGACAAAAATATAAAATTAAGGAAAAATTTTGACAACCCCCAAAATATTGTAATAATCTTGTAAATATTGAACTCGCGATGGTTTTCAACGGGGCTTAAAGTGGCACGAAATGTCAAAGGACTTTTATTTTAAATTGAGTGTTCCATACGACGTGCTATGTACAACAATAATCATTAAGTGGGTTGGAAATGATTTTTCAAATTTTCTCCAATTTTTGTAAAATTTGAGTTTTTTTTTTTTACCTTTTAAATACTATCTTAATGATGATTAGACCTGTCCACTAACCTTTTACCCTCGATGAATATTTAACGAGAAGTGGAAAAATCGTTTTTATAGACAAATTTAATGATTTGGATCAAGCTAAGTTAAAATTCGTCCACTACCGCTCACCCAATTTTTAAAAACATATTTTTTTTATTCTTTGACTTCTTGTCTATACTGCGTAACATTATTAGTTCATTTTTTATTTAGTTAATATAGTTAAAGTGCATGCTATGTTTACGTTTTTCTTAAAATAAACACCAAAAAATTAAAACATTTTTTCTAATATGTCAAAAACCAAAAAGATACCTACTTCTACGACTCAGAAACTAAAATGATAGTTTAAGGGTACATATATACCTATAATAAAATTATAATATGTAAAAAAATAATCTTTATTGCAGTTCTATGGAATGATAAAAATATGATCTACTCGAGAAATTTTCGGTCCCATTTAATGGTTTTGGCATAACTTTTGATGATTTTAAAGAGGACGCCATTTAAGCGAGGTAGGAAAACTAAATTGTCTTGCGTTCCATCCCTACACTTTAACCCCTGGACTCAATTGTAATTTACACAACGTAGTAAGACGTACAATATTCAATTTAAATAGGATTTTTTTCGAGGTAGAGAAAATAGTTCTTTTTTTTAAAATAGACTCCTAAAATGTAAATAGTATTTGATTATATACTCCAATTTAATTTATTTTTTATCGGCAAAGTTTAACTATCAGGTGTATTATTATTTTCTTCGATATTACCTATACCGTATACGAAATATAAATATAGTATAATCGTGTTAAGCGTACTTTCTGTGATGTGTGTGCTTCTCTTATTATACCGAAGTTTTATAATGTAGTAATTTTCAGGGGTAAATTACTGCAATCGAAATTTGCATAATAACGTCAATGGTTCGCAGCGTGCGTGTGCAGTTCTATTCGTTTGAGCACACGATCAATAACGGCGTCACTATACAGTATACACCCTTATATTATGCACTTTAGTAGGGGAAAAAATGAACTCGGACTCAAATTGGGAGTAGGGAGTGAGAGTATGCACCCACGACAGTATTATACCTTCACACGCGTTTACGGTGATGCAAATTTGCAGTTTTCGTCAATCAATATAGTAGTTCGGCGTTTTACAATAATTATTATCTAAATATTCAACAATTCATCTTAACTCAAGTAATAATAAAATGCGCTCGTAGTCCCGTGGACATTTTTTTTTCGGAAGTTGGCACTCGCGTGTAAACGGGGTCCTAACGAAGAGATTGAGCGGCCGTTGAAGTCAGTAACCTGGCTGCAGTTATCGTCAGAATCATTTGTCAAGTTAACTCCGCCAATTCTCGATCCCGCCAAATAAAAAATCGCGGTGCAATTTTTCGCGATCGGAAAGGGTCATCTCCTTTACTTTTTAGATCCTTTAGAAAAAAAATATATATTTTACATTATGATTGTTATTATTATTTTTCAAATAAAATTGTCTTCAAAGCGTTAAGGTCATCTTTGAAAATATACAAATAGGTGTTTATCATTTTTTAAACTGATTTTAAAAGCATTTTCGTTTGTTTTATGCAAACGCGTTTCTGCTCTATTATTGCCCGTTACAAAAAACAGAGACAGCAAAATACCATCGCAGTAACGGGGCCTCTTATAAGGTTTCATTTTTAATATAAAATATATAGTTCACGCGCTGAAAAAAAAAGAATAACTTTATTTTCATTTATATACTATCGTAGAAATAAGGTGTTATTAATTATTTGACGCGTTAAAAGTCCGAAATGAAAATGTTTTACGCGTGGCGAACATAATATTTCTATATATATATTATAACTGCAGTGTACGTGCTTTGGGTAGGTATTATATAATATATAATATTTCAAAGGCATTATCTTGTCTGCAACACGTTTGATGTTAAAATATATTTAATTAAAATTTCGCCGGCGTGTCGTTACACTACACGCGATAATTCATTTTAACGCTTCTATAATTACACATCTATACAAACACGTAAAATTATATAAAAATTCGTTTGTAATAAGTCAACGTACGTCGTATTGATATATACATATTATAGCTATCGATTAATAATTATGCTCATGTGAGATGTGTCGGAGATATGTGAGTGATGAACAGAGGTAAAAGAAAGATAATTAGAAACTCTAGAAACGCGGTGCTGTCAAAAAATGTCGGGATTTAACTGGACTGAATTAAAGGCCAACGACTGTGTATATTTAATCAAATATGTGAATCCAGAGAATTATTAAGATTAAAAAAAAAAAAGACGCTTGAGATTAATGTTGGACACACTATGTGACACGACGATAATGATCAACTCCACAAAATAAATGAAGGAAACATTGATAAGAGGCGAGTGAGACAGAATACGCCTCCGGGCAACGTTCATCGAAAGAGTAATTTCTGATTCAGGACTATAATGAGCTATTATATGAATCTGAACAGAATAGCCAGTAACAGGGAAGAATATGGTGGGAATGTGGAAGAAAATTGTATAACCACATGTAGTATCACATGATTGTATATCAAATAAGAATAAGAACTACAACTATATGCCTATATAGCTATATTATAAGAAATATTATAATAAATGTTTGATTTAAATAATTGAATATCTATTTTTAGTATTTTTCTGACGTTTAAAATATTGGCCAACTCAATGGATATGTGTTGCGTGCAAAAATTATTATTATTATTTTATATTGCGAGCGAAAAAAAACATATTCGAGCTAATAAACGGATATTTTTTTATTTTTCGGTACGATGATTGAAAAACGAAGTGATATTATGTTGTTTTATACACCAGCTGCCACTTTAAAATAGTATAGATTCTCGAGGGACTCGCTCTGTGGTAAATTCTCCTAAATTGTATACCATAAATATTATATATAATACATTATTATTATGATATAAAGTTTTCCATTTTTTTTTTTTTTTTTTTTTTTTTTTTTTGTCATCTTTTTATGAATTACATCTATTTAGTATAGTAGTCTATACTTAAACTTATATTCAAGCTCGGGTTACAATAAATCGATTTCATAATTTCTTACGATTTATTTACTTAAAAATATGTTCTGTCTTCCGAAATGCAGCACAGTATTCAATTAAAGGGGACGCATTAATGAAAAACTTCAAGTTCGTATTGTAAAGTTACAGTTATTTTTAAAAATAAATAATTATCACGACCGCACTTAATTAATGTTGTTTGGAATAGTTGACGCTAACTGAAATAAATGAAAAAAAAAAAATGTTTGATTATGCGATATTTTCCATAGTGTTTTTTTCGATAGAGTATCAAATAAAAAGCTGTTAAATATAGTACTTATTTAGCACTTCTTAATTTGTGACTCTCTCGGACCGAGAGTCTTGGTCAAGCTATTAAAATTTATTCTTATAACATTAACATGGCAATATTTAATATACATAGACCCAGTTTTCTCAAGAATATTTGCAAATCACAACAGTGAAAACCGCATTCATTTCGTGTCCAATGGTTGATCACGCGTTGGAGTACATTACTTTTAATATTATACGGGGTGTAACTGGACTATTTGATATTTTTACATTGTAGTTAAATGTAAAAATGTCAAAAAGTCCTGTTACACCCTGTGTACAATATACAAACTATATGTATATTGTACCTATATGTATAACTATACTTCTACGTGTAATTATTGACTATACAATATCGAATAAGTATATCGCCGCCGTGTTGTAAATTAATAAGGTTAGTATTAAAATATTATTATGACTTACGTCAAGTTGATTTTCTGACTGACACGCAGTTTTAGCCACAGACAAATAATAATTGGACAGTTAGTAAAACTTCGAGTTAATATTGACGTTGACCCTTCGGCAATAAAATATACACCTATATATTATCGTCATTGAATATTAAAAATCGTTTTCGATCGGACACGAACCGTCGCAAAGTTATTGTTTCAAGCGATTTTAGGTAGATAAAGGTATATAAGGTATACTTTTTATTTTTTTCTGTAGGTATTCAGTTTTTTACAAGTTCATCATAAATAGACCAAGTTTCTGGGGAGGGACTCGATCGAATTGTATATTTTCGTATAAATCTGGTGTACGTTTATATTAAGCATTTTTTTAAAATTTCTTTTAAAAATGAAAAAAAAATATAGTTGAATTTGAAGACAAAAGCCCAAAGAAACGTTATTAAATGCATTTTTTAAGAGAAGGTTGACTATAAAAATTAAATATAGTTGTATTTATATCCAAACACTGATACATAAGTATATGCTCCATCTCTCAGGCAATTTTTCTGAGGGGGGCTTACTTTTTTTCCATTCGTCATTTCTACGTAAAATGTAACGAGTAATTGTATATTTAATAAATACAAATTTGTTGACAATTGTATTTATCATGGGGAGGAAGGAATGAAATTTCAGAGGGGCATTTGCTCCACTTGGAGTGTACTTGAATTCAAAACTGCACTCAAGAATCCTATACCTATAAATATTTTATTGATTTATTTTGTTTTTGTGTTTTGTTACAGTCACGTAACTCAAACAGCGTCTTGGCTACCGCCCGTGGAAGCGTGGCCCAAAGATCCCGGTGCCAAAACCCTTCCGTACGGCTGGGAAGAAGCGCTAGACAGCGATGGAAGACCTTATTTTATCAAGTGAGCGTATAATAATAATAGTAAATAATTTAATGAATAAACCGATTATCCGTGAAATCCGTTCACGCCGAGGTTTCGGTCCGGTGGTACTATGGACGCAGGGTCGTCGTGTTTAAAATAACAATATTTATTCAACGTTCAACGTTTTATATGTTTTCCGTAGTTATTAAATAAAAAAATAAAAAAACGAACATACTTATTCGCGCGATGGGTGGGCTACTGTCGTAGGGAAGAAGCTAAGAAGGTAGGATATAAAATTTAATATATATATTTGTACGCAACGATGAATTATTGTTGACGAAAAACGATTCTGAATAGAGTTCAGCTGATATAGTGATGCTTTGTCAACAATACCGGATTATCCATTTAAGTGAGTACACTGTCATACATGTTTTAAAAGGGCGTATTATTAACGATTTTCGTTAAAATTTGATACTAATATTCTTTAAAAAAAAAAAAAATGCATACATTATACTTAATTAATTTTTTTATTTTTGACTAAAAAGTGAGATTTATAATGAACCTCCTGTTAAATTTTCAAGCGTTTTTATTTGGTTAAAATTTTTTATCCATGACCACTTAGTAGACCAAAAACAAGATTATAGACTGATTCAGCGGATGATAATATGTGACTAGTTGACGGTAATTTCACAATAGACTGGGCATAGATAGGAATATATTGAAATAGAGGGATTTATTAGTGACAGCGCAGGTCTTGAATGGACAGTTAAATTGTTGACGTAAATAAAAATTATGATAGTGTATTATAATATGAAAAATCGGGACCCTAAAGACACACATACTCGTATATGAGATGGGAAGATCAGACGAAAAACCGACTGGCACGATTCTGACCAGAATAGACAGAATAATGGGATAGAAAATATGGTTTCAGTTTGATCTTAAATGGTCGTATTACTACTACTACAATCACCACGTAGCAAAATATACAAAATATTCGAAATTAATCACGGGTTGTTTTTATACGAGTATATCACCACTACACAATGCATGACATAAACAAATATTCCTTAATGGATTAATCTATATAATAAATGGTAAATTATATAATATAAGTATGTAATATTATGGCTGCCATATATACATGGCACTCTGCAGTAGACTATGAAGTCATCTATTTAGTTGATTTTTTTTTTTTTTATTATTATTGTTATAGTTCTATGGTCCGGATTGAGTACGGTGTAAACATTGTGTGCAAAACAAAAAAAAAATACGGTTTTCTCCAGTTGACATATTATTATCATTATTATTATTTTAAACCACGGTGTAGATTTCTCGACTCGTAAAACTCCCAAAAGTCCTAAAACAATACTCGCACGCCCAGGTACACTCTTGTTTCGGGGTGGTTCCGGGGTATGGGGTACTCGTATATACATGTATGTAGGTCATTTCTACCCTTTATGTAAAATAATAATACGATCGTTTTCCGCTTCCCTAATAGCCCCGTGCTGCTGCCCCGTCAGTCCTTCCGCCCGCGTAAATAAATCCGCCAAACGACGGGCCATCAATAATATCCCGGCGGCCGTCAATCTGCGACTGGCAGCGGAACGTCCCAAGTTGGCAGTTTAAAACGGTTTAACGTCGCCAGTATAATAATACCAACCAATATACGGAATTAAACCGAAAAGTCAATAAAGTCAACTTCTATATTCGTATAATAGTAATAATTTGTTCGCTTGTTCGCCGCCGTGTTCGTTCCCCTAATTCCCAAATGCATTAACTCCAAAATGACAACTGTTCGGTAGACGCAAATAACGTTTTTGTCGCCAAGTTCTTATTCTGAAATGATGATATTTTATGTACCCTATTACATATGTCATAATATGGAGACTTAATGTGAGACTTTTTTTTCGACGCGTCAATTTCGTTATATTTCTACGGAATAATACATTTTTAAAAGAAAAAAAAATTTAGACGGCTTTTTTAATTATTTTTTTATTTTAACGGGAAATCAGTATCTATATATACAAAATCACGTGTTTAAAGTTACGACAGTTGAGAATTAAGCCGACAATATGTGTATAATATATATATATAAAAACAGACATTTTTTATAATAAAACCAATTCTATAGGTCATAATATGCACTCGATGTACAATAATCGATATAATGCATTTTTTTTTTTTTTATCAACAACTACAGTATATTTATAGTAATAATAATAATGAAGAAAATCTATTTTTATAAATATCTATAATTTTTTGAACAAATATTTTTACTTATCGATTTTTTAATCGCTTTACCTTATAATATTTGTTTTTATTTTTTCATAACTATTCTAAAGTAGGTCTTTGTTTGTTGGAAGGAGGGAGTTCTTGTTTCATTGTTCAACGTTACCAACTAAATTTTCACTGGATCCAGCGTCCAATTTTACCAATTTTTTTTAATGATATTTCTTATCGGTTTTTGTTAACTGTGATTTATTTTTATGTAGCATATTTTATTTAGTTAGAATATAGAACACGCGTTGTAATCATATTATAATCATGTTCCATGTATTATCCAATGCAATCTAAATAATATATTGGTATCCTGTTATAACCTTCCAACAGATTCATTGTTTAGTTTAATTTTGGAAGGCAAGGTACCTACCTAATAATACAATATTTGAAAACGGAAAATCTACTGGGGAGTATAAAATAAATGTAAACGTTTCATTTAAACATTGAAAATTATGAATAAATTTACCCAATAAAGTTAAAAACAGATATTGCTTTTCATTCATATAAAATAATAATAATATGGGTAGATAAAATATAAGTATATAATAGAAAATATTGTTTATTTAAAATTTTATTAGCTTTAATTATTATTAATAAAATTGATACCGTAGTAAATAATTTGTCAATGTTAAATGTACACCCATATCCTTCTTATCTTTTCGGTTTATTTTGCAAACTTTTTTTTTACCATCAATTACCATAATAATTATATTTCTGTTTGTTAAAAACAAATAATAAAAGACTAACATACTTCGCAATATAAGTGGCTACTATTTTAGGTGAAAAGTCGGGAAAGCAGGATATAAAGGGGAATTAAATGCATATCTGCACGCAAATATTAAGCATTGCCAACGAAAAACAATTCTGAATGGAGCTCGGTCAACAGTTATACTTTATCAATAATGTGTGTTCACAACAGCGATTGTTTAAAAATTATTTGTTTAAAATTATCAATTTGTTTACTATTCAAAATGTGACCTACACAAAGTGACTTTTGTCTTTTACTGAGTAACTTCATTGATTTTTAACCACCAAAGGTTTTAGGTTTACACTTATTAGGACATTAACTTCCTTCGAGTAGTATCAGGTTTGGGGTTTAGATGAAATTTGTATAATTCGAAGTTGATATCCTGGTATTAATATATTTTTTTATCATTTAAGGAGAAGTAAGTGTATCTATTCAATTTCACGATCAATTCAATTTTACTTAAATATTTGTTTTTGTATGTTAAATTTATAATCAGGAATATGTGACGATATTAAAAAAAAATTTACATGTTTCCATTTCTACTGCTTATTGAGGTAGTGAATTTTAAGGGAATAAATTATATTTTGGGCTGAGAGGAAATGTCCCTTAACGGGAAAATATGGGCAGTACGAAAAATAGACCCTTTTAGAAAAAAAAAAAAAACGACATAATCGTACAGATAATGTTATTTTCCTTAAGTTACATAATAGGTCAATTCACTGCAACAGTGTAATATTAAAATCAACAGCACTAATTCGTCACTGGCGAACGCAAATTTGATGGTATGCCGTTGTTTGTAAGACGGGAAAATATTATAGCATATGTGGGTGTGACGCCCTCTTAAAGTGTACATAAATTGTATACGATTGTTTTTCATTAGTCATTACTGATATTTTAGAACGCGTGGAGGTGTTGAGTCGATATATTATTCTAAACACGCAAGCAGTCTGTATAAATTGATATAAATCTTTGTAA